AGGAGAGGTGGCTGGATGGGCCTTCCAGGGGTGGGGGTTCCGGAACTGTGCAGCCTTTGTTACAGAGGCCCTGCTTTGAACACTGAGACCGATTTCACACAAGAGCTGCGCCGCGGTCGCGCCTCCCTTTGCCCCGCTTCTATTGGCCAATTTCCCACTCGAAGCCACGCGGCCGCATTTTGACCTGCGGCTTTGCCCGATTTTCCCCGCGGCTTCGTGATCTTCAAAAAACAGGATCACGAAACCGTGGGGAAAATTGGGCGAAGCCACGGGTCAGATGCGGCCACGCGGCTTCAAGTGGGAAATTGACCAATAGAAGCGGGGCAAAGGGAGGCGCGGGCGCGGCGCAGCTCTTGTGTGAGATCGGTCTGAAAGATGGCTTCTGTTATTCGGAACCTAAAGTGAGGCGTCTTTGGGAGCATGTCCTCTGAGCAGACTGGCTAACCCACGTCTCTCGGTTGTGGGTTTTGTGGTGAATATTTAATGCGGTCATGCCTCACATTTTACATAGACATCTCAGTCTGCTGACGGCATTCTTATAAAAATAAAGTTGGAGCAGCGGAATTTAAATAGCAGAGCCCACAGTGTCCTTGTGAACTGGGGATGTAAGAAATCAGCAGTTTTGTAGTCTTCTAGATCATGAGGGTCTTCATTCGTTTATTTACCTACTTTGTGTTGATTCATTTTATTTCTTTTTCTCTCCAGTGGGGGCCCAGGTGGCTTACAGCATTCTCTCCTCCTCACAACAACCCTGTGAGGTAGATGAGGCGGAGAGAGAGTGACTGTCCCAAAGCCCTCACCAAGCTTCCAGGGCAGAGTGGGGATTTGAACTAAGGCAGGGGTCCCCAACTTTTTTGAGCTTGTGGGCACCTTTGGGATTCTGTCACAGGGTAGTGGCCGCAAGCAACAGAACGGCTGCTGCAGGAGGCGGAGCCAGCTACTCCGTGTCAGAAAGCGAGGTTATGCGGAACTCTGAAAGTAACGCCTCAGTGTTTCAGGCCCAGGGGTCTGCTTACCAGGCTGCTTTTCAAAACGAACACATTGTTTGGAAATATTTCTTGGTGTACACATTTTCTGTTCAGCCATGTAATGAAGCTCCTTGGGCTGTGCGGTCAGGTGTTGCCAAAGCAATCTTTCTTTGAAATCTGCTCAGCCAAATCCAGCCTGCTTTCTAAAAACATTTGGCAGGCACCAAGGAAGGTGCTGGTGGGCGCCATGTTGGGGACCCCTGAACTAGAGGCTCCCAGACCAGTATTCTGTGTTGGATCCCCCCCAAAAGAAAATAAAAATGAGGCAATATAAATGGGCCTGCCTTTATACTGGGTCAGACCATTGGTCACTCAAGGTCAGTATCGGTGAGAGGCGTGCAGAGATAACATCTAGCTTTGTTCTAGGATAAGACACTCCAAACGTGACCCCACTATGTATTCAGACTGGCCTCAAACTCTATTTGCTGGGAACTCTTCTGTTGCTTTCCTTACTGAAACTAGCAGGAGCTCATAATCCATTCCCAGTGTTGCATGTATGAGCACGTAAACGCCTGCCATACTGGACTTCAGCATCACTGTGGACCAGCAATGGCCTCATTGGACGGGCCGAGCCCCTTCCCGTTCTGTTGCCCCAGCACTTTTTACCTACTGCCTCCGCTGGTTGCCAATTCCCCCGTTCCTGTGTCCTTAGCAGAGGTACTGTGTCGCAACAGTCTTAAAACCAGCCGCCTGTTTAGCAAGAGGTGCCATTTCAGTGTGTACGTACTGATATTGTTATCAAGTGTGGTTCCTTCGCCGCCAGGCAGTCGCCTTCCGGTGCCTGCAGTCTGGGCTGTCAACGTTGCCTGTTGCTCAAAAGCCTCTTTCCCCAGCCCCAACCTGGAACTCCTTTCTCTCCCTCTCCCACCCCCGCTTCCTTTCTCGTTGGGTCACCCTTTGGTATCCCGCTTGCTGTTTCATTCCAGCCACTCAGGAGACCAGTCCTATTCCCGGACAGCTTGGGAAGGAGCGTGGTGCCGATAACCTTCTCAGGGACTTGAAGGAGATTTTTACTCCGCCCTGGGAGCTCCCTTCCCCTACTGAAGGTAACGCCACGCAGCGGCAGGCCAGTCTGCTTGTTTGTAGTAGCTTTTAAAACATATTTTGGCGTGGCTGGGCTTTACAGAATCCATGCTAAGGTTGTGCCAGGGGTTAGCGGGCGAGATGATCAAGCCGTGAACCTGCCCTGTAGGAGACAAGACTCAAAGCAGTTCCCAGCATTTAAATGGAGGAGCTGGAAGCTAGGTCACGTCCTTTAAGAAAACCCAATTTAAAAACTCTTTCAAGGAAGAGGCTACTATCAGTTCACAAGGGGTTTGGAATACAAAATTGACCTTTTTCCATAAGGAAGGGTCTTTATTAATCCCATTTCAGGAGGTTTTCTGGCCAGAGGAGAGGGAAGCGAAACTAAAAAATGAACAAAGCTTGAAATGGTTCCTTTCTTTTTTTTTTTTGCTGTCAAGTCATAGCCAGCTTATGGTGACCCTGTAAGGTTTTCAAGGCAAGAGATGTTCAGAGGTGGTTTGCCCTTGCCTGCCTCGGTGTCATGACCCTGGGATTCCTTGGAGGTCTCCCATCCAAATATTGATCAGGGATGAAATGGTTCTAAAGCGGAATACTTCCTTTAGTTTTTCCAAAGAGCCGGTCTTTTAGGAATCCTCTTTATCAAGGTGGCTAGAGAAGTTCCTTAAGGCTAAAACCATATCAATTGGGAATGAGTCGCTATGCGGCTTTTGTCCTTTGCAACAGGGTGCGACAAGAGATGAGAAGGATTTTTTTTAATGTTCTTCTTTCTGCCCCCAGCCAACTACTAGTAAAGGAAAAATACTGTAAGCGAGTTTTTGAACCTGGAAACCAAGTTCAGCTGTTTTATGTCC